CCACCCCCACCAGATTATTCAGTGAATTGTCTGTGGAGGAGAACTCAGAGGTGCAGCAGGGCAGGGCTGTGCTCCCAAGGCACAGGGGTGGTAATTGGCTGTAGGGAAGGGGTCTGGTTCATAGTGAAAGACTCTTTAACTCGAACTCAGAAAGTCTGCTCCCTCCTGTGGACAAGAAGGAAACACAAATTGGGATCCATTGTTTGGCAAACCTATAGGCCAGAGTTGGTCTTTGTTCTATAGGAAATGAGGCGCTTTGGAAGGTTGGGCCCTTTCATTGTTTAGTGGCTCCTGGTCTAATTTCCATGGCAAATGCTCTCCATTGGAAAGAAACACAACACCAAGATGAACCACCTTTGCTCCTGAGGATGCTAGTTAGGATTCCAATAGATTGAATCTGCAGAAAGGCCAAATCAATGTTCTTAAGCAGCAGAGGAGATTCAGGGACTCACTTAAACTGACAATAGCTAGCATGCACAGAGCACATCCTACGTTTCAAGTGTGTAACACTGATGAACAGATTTAATCCCCCCCATCATGGTGTGCATACTGTTGTTATTTCTCTTTTCTAGGTACGATTCTGAAGGACCTTGTTAAGTTCACACAGTTGCGTTAACAGCCGGAATTTGAACTGCAGTATCATTCCTTAATCACTTACAAGATGCTGTCTGTTAACTGAGAAGGCCAGCAGGAGAGCCGAGTTCTAGAACTTGGCCTATTTCCCTCCATCATTTGATCCTATTTTATTTAGAATGGGCTTCATTCTCTGGCTCCAAGATATGGCCCTAGCAGATCTTGACTTTTAAAAACTTTATGTAAAGTATGCTTGCAAACTCAGTTGTAAGGTTTTTTTCCTGCCCTTTCTCTATGCTACAGAAGTTCTAGAACATCATCTTCATGCGTGGGTCACACCCCCCCCCTTCAATGACTGCCATCAGGGAAATGGACTCCTACCTGTTCTGAGTGCTAGGACTGAGGTACAAATCCACCACCAGTGCTTATCGTGGAAGAAAGCTGAGCAGTGGGAAGAAATAAATGTGAGAATAGGTCTGAGGTGTTTTGTTTTGTTTTTCCAAAGAATACCAAACTGCTTACCAGAAGAAAATCGACATTACACTAGCATAACTACTCGCCCATCTGTATGCCTAACCTTGGTTCGCTAACTGACCACACAGAATTCATGGGCCAGACTAATGTTTGCCTTCCTTTCACTGAGGAAGGCAAACTGCTTTGTTCTGTCGTACACAGGGTCACCAGGAATTGGAATAAACATGACAGACCGAACAAGAACAGTGACATTGCTGGATTGTTTTTGCACAACGTCACCAAAGTCTAGAGCACCCTGTGCTATTATTCCCTGGGAGGGGGCAGAAATGCGACACTCTGGGGAAAGACTGTGTGGGGTTTTCTTCAAGGTTCCTAAGAACTCAAAGAGCTACCGGAAAAAAGTCTTGATCTTATGTGATTAGATCAGAGTTGGTCTGGATTGCTGATTGGTTGATGGAGGGGGCACCGACCTACATTACTTACAGTAAGATATGTCCGTTCCAAGTTAGGAAGACTTTTCCAGCACGAAAATTGTTGTTAATGAAGATCGACAAATCTCCTGGAGCTTTTTGCAAGGGGAGAGAGTAGCGTCCCTGGAAGATTTGAGGACTGAACTAACCAGAGGCCAAGACTCTTCCCCCCTTGTCTCTCTTCTTGCTTATGGGCAATTCTAGTGTGTTTGTTGCGGCTCTTTTGCTTTGGTATTTGTGGTTGTCCGGAAGCTATACCAGGCTGATGGCATTAGCCGAGGGTGAGAGGCTGCAAAGGGCAATGGAACAGGAGAAAGGAGGCCTTGTGCTGGGTCAGCCTCTAAGCACAGCCACGCCTTCTGGAGCGCCGAATGGGAGGAGACTCTGGAATTCCCACACTGCACCAGGGGCAGCTGCTTACCACCTCCATCTCGCCGTGGCCCTATTTCTCTCTCCCAGACAACAGGGTCTGAAAACATCATCAATTATGCAGACTATTTTCTTCCTTCCTACTCTTGAGATTTCCCGCCGAGCCTGCTGGAGTCAAGGTTGGGCTGAGAAGCTAAGTCCTTGCCTCCTCATTAATGTCAAGCCAGGGTGCTTTGGGATTCTCCCATGAAAGTTTTCTTCAGGGGCCAGAGGCTGCTGAGCCTAAGGACAGTCCTGCTCAAACTTTAATGTGCTTCTTAATCACCAAGGGGCCATATTGAAATGCTGATTGTGATTTAGGAGTTTGGGCCTGAGGTTCTGCATGCCTAACAAGCTTCCAGGGAAAAGCCATGCTGCGGAACCCCATGGCCCTACAGAGAAATGCCAGGCTCATTTCTCTCTCACTCAGTTCAACTTCTCCGTCTGTTTGTCCTATCGAGGCTACCTGAGCAAGTGCCATGTTTGTGCTTGGCAAATATATCAGGATGATGAATTCTCCAACGTTGGACATATTTGACTGAATAGTCTGTAAATTATCTAACGAAGCAATTAAATTTTAGCTCCGCTACTAAACATCCCTCTGTCCTCTCTGCTGATTACCATACTGCCTCACCTCCCAGGGACAAAGGCAATGCATGATTAACAAGTAAGCAATTCATGATGAGTTTGTGCCTCTGTAAAAGGAGGATCTCTCTCGCGGATTACGGGGCCTGTGGTGGTGTTTCTCTTCACATGCTACACTCCCAGGGCTCCTGCTGGCTAATTTATACATGTCTTCCCTTCCCCGTGTCTTCTCGCAGGACATGCACGTCATCAGCACCGATGAGAACCAAGTGTTCGCCGCGGTCCAAGAATGGAACCAGAACGACACCTACAACCTCTACATCTCGGACACACGTGGCGTCTACTTCACCCTGGCTTTGGAAAATGTCCAGAGCAGCAGAGGCCCTGAGGGCAATGTCATGATAGACCTTTATGAGGTATGTCGCCGAGGGATCAGTGCTCCTGAGGGGCAGCCATGACTTGACTGGCCCACGAAGGCCTGGCCAAGGCTGTTTCCCACCTCATTCTCCGAGTGCTTTCCCTGAATAGCCTCATTTCACTTGCAAAACAGAGGTCTTTCCTTAACCTGATTCATTTGTTCATTGGGGATCTGCCAAATGGATTATGATTTTTATTTTTTTGCTGTTATTCGGTGGAAGGCTTGGAGGATGTGGAGAGGTTCTGGGGAGTCAGTCAGAGGAGGACAGGGTTTGATCCCAAGGGAGCTGAGTGAGGGTGGACTGTAAACATAGCAGTGAAGACCAACTGTGTTTTGAGCAGCGGGGTGGTGGGCAGCTCTCCCTGAAGGGGAAAGGAAGGTGAAGGATGCACCCTTGCATTGCATCAGCAAATACTCTCCTTGAGCTTAGACCCTTCTAACGAGATAACTTCCTGACGCATTGCCAGTGAGGGAGATAAGATTAATATGTCTTTCTCTCTTAAATCAAGAGAACACCAGAGCTTATCAGGCTCCCCGAAGCCTACCATGGACTCCTTACTGCTCAAAAGGATCAAGATTCAAAATAAAGCTGAATAGGTTGGATGAGCCCATTTCACACAAATGCCTGTGCTTTCAGGGCTGTTGCGGGCATACGAATGCTGAAAGCCAGCACCATTGCTGTTTGTGCATCTCAGCCTGTGCGATGAAGTATTCATAATAGGTTATCAGGAGTCATTAGGAAGTATATTCAGAATTTGGAGAAGTGCAATTATATACCTATATTCCATGTGAAGAGAAAAAAACATTGCATTCCGTTATGCACAGCCGTAAGATACCGGGGTTTGTTTGAGGATTAAATTCAAGGAATCAAGAGGTGGTTCTTCCAGTGAGAAGCAAGAGAGTCATTGAGGTCCAGGAAAGAAATTAACTTCACTTGAGAAAATGTAACCTATCATTGTAATGCCTCCTCCTCCTATCTACCTTTCTTCTCCTCTAGAAGTTCCAGGGAAGTTTTAGAATCCAAATGTCTCTGTATGTATAGCAGCATATTAATAAACCATATGCCCAGTTTAGAACCCATGCATTTTTAATAGAAATCATAGCTGGCCAGCATGGCATGTATTTTTGTGTGTATATATTTAGAAAACTGGACTGCAAACTTTTCCACACATTCACAAGGGGTTTTTTTTTGTTTTATTTTTCACTTCCTCTCCGACTCATGTTTCAGATAAATATAGCATCTATAAGATAGCTCAGCCGCAAACTCAACAAGTAGCCTGGAAAACATTTACATAGGCTGGTAATTTGCCCTCCAATTTGTGTTGGACACCATTGTGAGTTAGAAGATAGGTTGAGAGGAGTCCTCCATCCCAGCTATGCCACTTATCTGTGTTCCTGAGGCAAATCCCCTGCCTCTGAGCCTCGGGTCTCTTGTTTAAACCACGGGGAGACACAGGGAGCCTACTTGAGAGGATTTATTTGAGCATGAGATGAGCTACTCCTTGTCTGGTGCTGAGTACTGGGCCTGAGCCAAAGTCATGCTCAACATAGTGTAGATGGTCTCATTCAGATGCTGTTCTGATGTGTTTAAGCACCTATACCCTTTTCTGGGCTGATTGTCTTAAAAACAACCTGCATTGTTAAATGCCCAGTACAGTCCTGCGATTTGGGATTTCTGTCTTTCCCCATGTTGTAGTCAGCTGGCCCATCAGACATTCTTTAACACTAACTAAATGTCTTCTTATAAACAAGTGTATTTTTTTCCACCTCTGTGCTCCCATTTTAAATGTACTGTAAGCGTTCATATAGTAAGGCTCTATGGTTCAAATGCCATGCACTTTTTAACCTTGATCCGGAACTTAAAATATCTTGCTCTCAAGGTCCATTAGAGGTGAAATCCAAGCAAATGTCCCCACTGAACAACCTCCTGGTCGTCTTTCCTTAACTTGCCATCTCTTCATGGTCTCCCCAAACTGTCTTCATTTTTTACTCCCCCACAACCTGATTATATTCTCCCATTTTTCAAATCCATATGGAAGAGCCTATCTGGATATATTTTGTGTTATGCCAGAAAGAGACCATTTTAATTGGTCCCTGAATGATGAAAATGATGACAGATTTGGACAGACATGGCTTTCGGCACCCTATCATTTGCAATTGTTTTTGTGAGTGGTTTTCCTAAACTCGAAGCGGTAACAGGTCCAGAATTAGAAGAGCAATCAGGGTGACCCCTGGAGATGCCAAACTGACTTATCGCTAATCTTCGAGTTTCTCTTTTGTGCCTCTCTTGCAGCTGACTATGTGTAGGGAAACTGCTGGCTCCAATTATTGTCACTCTGAACCAGGGTGTGACTGCATTATGTAAAGGTGTTCTGCATCCTGGGGCCCGGGGAGAAACGTCTTTGTTTTATTAGCCTGGCAGTTCACAGCAACGTGAATTGAAATGGGTGATCGGACCAGCAGTGCCATGTCTGCTGGTTACCTAGCTAGAAAGAACATTGGCTGACACTGAACCTGGCACAAATGTTCCCTTAAGTCTGATTGTTCTGGTGAGCAGGAAGCTGAGAGCCATTCAGCTGGAATTTCCCAGTAGATTTGCAATGAAGGATGAATGCTCAGAGATAAATGAAAAGTAAGAAAATCTGTAAATGAATTAATAAGAAGAGATGAGGTGAGGGTGACAGAGATAGACTACGTGGAGGGCACATCTGCTTAGATTTGGGGGTGCCTGAGGAAGATGACATTCTTTGTCCATATGCTTCTGCATCCCAATCACCTGCTGTGCCTGCATGGTATCTTCCTCATGCTACTTTCACAGAGGCAAGCTGTGTACATACGGATGGGTCTATCGCTGTGTGCATATGGATGGTGTGTGCACACGGATGGGTCTATCGCTGATGAGTCTTTGTGGGAAATGTAAAGGAAGCACAGTTCTTCTTAAAGTGAATCCGCTAGTTTGCACACACACTAGCAATGCTATCTGGACTTTCCAGTGCCAGAACCCAATGGAATAGGTGCTGGCATAGAGAAGTATGGAGAGGCAAAGTCTCACCCTCACGTGGTGTAGTTCTGGAAGATCTCCCTTGGTGTAAGTTGGTCTTTGAACATGTGCTGCATCAAAAGAATCACGAGACGAGAACCAGCAAAGTTCTCTGCAGGACAAACAGGCTAGAAAGTTACTTGTGTTGAGGAAACGTCTTAATAAAGAAAGCTAGCGTGTTGGAGTGCCTTGATGTGTTCAGATACTTCAGGAAAGACTTTGGCATAATTTCTTCATTCGATCCTTCGATTAACTTAATAGCACAGAAACCATAATTATGTATATATCAACGTAAGTAAATGCAGACAGAGAGGGAGTGCAGTCACAGTTTCTAAAAAAACGACAAAAGCCAGCAATGTGACAGAGTTAGAATCCCAGTCCTGAAGTGTGCAAACTCTCAACCACAAGGTGAGAATGGTTTTTAATCGTAGCAGAGTAAGAGCACCAGAACCGGAGGGTATCGATATGGAGGAGCGAGAACGTTAGACTTGACCTGGCTGTGGAAGAAGCCAGACCAGAAACAGAAATTGGTGGTGGGGGTTGTGGGGGGGGCGGGCTGCTATTGGAGACAAAGGCAGTAGTTGATTGCTCTGGACTTTTTCATCACACTCTGAGCCATGTCCTGAGCTTCCCGTTAGAGGTCAATTCGGACAGTATTGATGCATGGCTCCCAATATTAGTTGGTGTGTTTGGGTAAGAAAAGTCTGGGATAAGTATCCTAAAACTCTTGTCTTTTCTAAACAGTACTATTCTCCCAGTGGCATCATGGGGAATGGGTACCAGAGGGCACCCACCTGTCTGATGGTGATCAAAACAAAAGAGATATGATGACCATGCTGAGACTCCTGATTCTGAGTATATTTGTGTGGTATGGATGATGACCAGGGGTATGACAGCTTTGCATAATAGCCTCTCTCCTCTGGGGAGGGAATATTAATGATTATGAAGAGCACTTTGGCATGATGGACAATGACAGTTACCCCATGCAAGTGGAAAGGATTCTGTTGGGAGTAAAGCTAACTGGCTGACAAATTGAAGATGCACAGTCGGTCTCCATTCATGAGCAACTTCCAAAGGACCTCCTGGAAACCACAGCCAGTAACCAGTGCATGCTCCAGCATGCCTTCTGTACACCAAATATCCCCTCATTAAATGGGAAAGCCAAACAGAGGTGGCAGGATAACTTGCATTTCTGTTTAGTTTTCTCTTTTAACAAGAAAAGAGAACTATCTTGAGGGAAAGACCGCCACTAACAGCAAGGAGAAGGAGATAGAGGAGAAAGATACTCAGCTACCTAGGGCACATGTATGATAGAATTATAAAGTAAAAAGCCTCATCCCATTATTTAAGGCTACCGTCTTCCTAGGAGGTGAATGCCACCTCATCGGAGCATTGGGAAAGAATGGAATACTTAGAGACTTTTTGGCAAATGGGTTCCTGAGTTAGAATGACATCCCAAATGGCTGCGGAATGTGTGTCTCTTGGTGGGTGGTCAATATTTTACAAGGAAAAACGAAGCCCCTAAAGTCCCAAAGAAACCACAGTCCCAAAAGATGCCCTGTTGCTTGGGAGGGATGTTGTCTCATCCTTACACTCACATTATTTTCAAGTCTGGGCACTCAGGATTTGTAATTGAAGCCTGAGAGAAAGCAAGGGAGAAATCCTGTTTCATTTAGTATCAGAAGCAGACACAAGCAAAGGCTCCAGGGCAAGGGTCCTCTCCCCTTAGCCTCCACATACAACATCTGGAAGCTTGAAGCTGGAGAGACCGCTCTAGAGAGTAAACATCACAAAATGAAGATGATATCTTGGGCTCTTCCCTTAAATCACTGAAGAAATCAAAATTCCCCATGATTTTTGAGAATGATTCCCCCCTCTCAAGAAATATCAGCTGAATGAATGCATAGTTATTTAGATATTCTAGTAACTATCTCCTCCGTGCTTAGAAGAGTGCATAA